GCACTTTAGATCCCTGAGTTGGCACATCCTGGAATCAGGGTGCAAGACATTCCCGTTGAGTTCACACGTTTCTGTTGCCTGCTCCTATCTTAAGCCTTAAACCTTAAAGCTGTTTGTGGACTCCAAAAGATGCCATAAAAACTGTGAACTGTCATACACTAGACTTGTTTTGTTTGCAGTGTTTATTCTGTACAATCAGCCAAAGTGTAAGTGTACAGTGCCTTAGAATGTACTCATTACTTCTGCTTAGGTCTAACGTTGGTTTTGTGAGTGAAACGGGCAAAAACAATATGCTACTGCTACAATGTCTTAAATTACACTTCATCAAATCAGTGCACTCCTAGAAATCCTTGTTTTTAAGAGGCAGTGCACTTATGTTCAGATAGATTTGTAAGCCAGGAGAAGAGTTTCTAATCATTTTCTATGAGTGTAATACAAACACATAACAGCTGCCTTTCCTGTTGTACAAGACCAAAAAGAATCGGGAGAATCTCTTGTAGTGTTCTGTTTGGTAGCGAGGAAGTGCCTTTGGTTTCAAATTTCCAGCTTCAAAAAGATTAAACATTAAAAAAAAAAAAAATCAATGTTGCTAAACCAAATATAGGACACAAGTGACACCAATCACCACATTGCCTTTTTTTAAAGGACTGAGGATTGATTGACAGCAGGAGAAATATAGATAATGGATAAACAATTCTTAATTAGGATATTAATCGGGTTTTTTTTTTTTTTTTAAATGTTAGAAGAAAATTGATTTCCTCGCTTTAGACTTTCATTTTTAGACCCTGCCAACTGCAAGCAGAACGCAAAAACACAGAAGCAGTATGTTTAGTGCACACTTGCAGGTTCAAGTGTTTGCAAGCAGATTGTTAGAAAAACTGCGGTTGTCTTGTTGCAGTGACCGCTCTTTGAGACACGGGGAATATTTGGGTTGGGGGGGGGGGGAACAAACTGTTGGGTTTTCCTTTAGTGATGCAGACACAATTGTGTTGCTCTTAGATAAAAGTTTATTTAACAGCATGAAATCTAAAATCACATGCAGGACTGTTTTCTAGTTAAACTGGGATTTGTGTCCAAACTTTTTCTTTTTTTTTTTTTACAGCTGCTGCTGCAGCAGTATGAGTGGATCATCAAAGCTAATACTTAGACTATAAGGATCTTAATTACTTAAACATTTTACAGTTTCTTACAGAGATTTTATTCAGTTGGAAGAACTTTAATAAAAGAATTATTAAATAATTACAGACAATATCTCTGGAGGATGCAGTTATTTAGTTCAGTATTTTGTGTTACGTTTACCCTGTGTATCTTTTCACATTTATTGATCACACTCTGTAGTGAAGTGTTTCTTTTCTTCTTGTGCCTGTATGCTTTGTCCTGTGATGACATCGTCTGTATGCTGAGGCTCATTCTGATGGTAATGTTGTCACTGCTGCACTGCTGACATATAAACACTAAAACCGCAGGACTGATGGCTCCGATGGGACTAACGTCTGCTGGACTGTTTTTAAGGGAAAATAGACAGACGCGCATAAAGAGCCGTTTTCAATCATGCTACAAACATATCAGCAGTTTGGCTCTTATTTGTATTTTTGATTTTCATACGGGGTACTGGTACCTTTCTGTTGTGTGATCATCCCTGACGATGATGGCTTTAAAGTGACTTTTGAAATGACTCACGTTCACTCACTTTGGTTTATGTGTGCAGATCTTTGTTGTTCTTTTGTATAAAGGTGTTTTGTATAAAAGTATATCTTAGCCTTTTCTTGGTACAGATGTGTGATATGTTTTCCTACTCATCAGCGTAAAGTGGTTGGAGCAACGGAGAGAAAAGAAGCTGTGTCGTTTCCCGTGTTCTTCTCATGGTCTTGTCTTTGCTTCGTGACATTTTGATGCCTTCTTGACAACACTAGATATTTTGTAGCTTTCTAGATACTTTCTATGTATGCAACATCAAAGTTTAATAAATCTAAAAGAAACAATGGCTCCTGCTTTTTTCACTTGGATGCAGGCACATCATAATACTGGTTCATTTGAATACTAGCAAAATGTGGGGGTTTTTTTAACTGTTTTTTTGTAAAAGGTGAATAAGTTCATTACACATAGAATGGTATAGTTTAACTGGATTTTTTTTTTATTATTACGTCTTACAGTAATTCCTACACACACACACACACACACACACACACACACACATCCTTTATTTAATAAAAATGAAAAGTACATCAGACAAAAATGTTTTTTTTCTTGTTTGTTTCAGAAATGTTAGGGTTTTTTTAACATGTAGGTGTCTTTGTGATTTCTACACAACCATGAAGAAGATGGCTGACATATTTGTCCAGCAGACAGTCATATGGTGTGAGCCACAGAGGTTTTCTCTAAAAAAAAAAAAATGCTGTTCAGAGTTCTGTATCTAAGCTATTAAAGAAAAGTTGAATGGAACAAAAGATGTGGTAGACAGAGATACCCAAACAGAGAGGACTGCTGCCTTGTGAGAATTGTAAAGTCAAAGCAATAGTTTAGGGGAGATGCAACATCATTGGTGTTAGTCCACTGTGATCCACCAAGTCCCAAAGCAGCACAATTGTCCAACAAGAGATTTGAGATTACCTCATCCTTTCTTCTTCTCCTAAACTTTCTGGAGATGTTAGTTTTCCAATACCTGCCATCATTACCTGAATCTGGTTTGATGACTGTAGGGTCACTGTGGTCAGTTAACCAGCAAGCATGTCTGACTTAAGCCTGAAGGAGAATTATGGGGATTGTCGGGATGAAGATGAGACACCAGCCCCACCGACGTAAAGGAGGTTGATGGTGTCAATCGGCCAATTCATTGGCCGATTGCCTCCCAACATGTTGCACTGACGTATTAGAGCCCTAATGCAAAATTAGCCCAAAGTATTGAGTCAGCAGCTTTTTATTAATATCATTTAATTTAGTAGTTTTCTGTGAAACAGAATTCTGGATTTTTGTCAGCTGTAATACATCATCATCATCACCAAAATGAACAGAAATAAAAGCTTGAAATATACCACTCTATGTGTATTAAATCACATTTTTGCATTAAATTACTGAAATAAATATAACTTTTTAGTTTATCTATCAAGATGTGTCTATGAAATGTCATGTTTGAATCATGAACCTCTACTATGGATCACCTCCTCAGCAGTCCTACACAATCTTAGAAAGTCTGGGATGTTAAGTATTTTCCAGTCGTGCATATTTATTGAAAAAGAAAAGTGTGTATGAGAAACTTTTGCTTTTCCAGATTTTATTCTCTCTTTTATTATAAATGTATTGAAACATTTCTAAAGCACGTTGTGTTAACCATTGTTTTAATGCTATGTTTTAAATAAAAGATTGACACACAGAGATTGTATTTTTATCCTTCTGTCAATCTGTCCTTCCACCAATCCATGCCATCCGTTCATCCAGCCCGTCATAATGTGGCTTTTTGTAGGTTCTGTGTTTAAACACTGTAGTTGTATAAAACTCATAGTAGAAATTCATATTTATACATTTTTATTTATTTATTGCTATGAAATTTTAACTCAAAGGATGAAATTGTGGAAATTTTACATTTTAACTGAACTATCCTCACATCAACAGCAGAGGGCGGTGTTGCTTTATCTCCCCGGGGAGATGTGAAGCGTTTATCACCAAGATGAGAGAGATCGCCACCAGAGGGAGATGCAATGGGTTCAAAAGCGAACATTGAGCACTAAAATAATGAATGTAGTTAAAGCAGTCATGGCAAGTCCAAGACCTGATAGAAGTGAACAATAATAGTTGGAATATTCTCAGACAGTTCCTTCAGAATAAAAAGAAATCACTTTTTTTTTTTTTACCCATTCCTGGAAAGAATCGTATGAATCCTCCTTATCCTTATGTGAAATATGAGACAGGATGGTTCATGAACATAGATTACCTCAAGATGATGGCCACATATGAAGGGGAAATTTTGTTTTGCACTGGTTCTCTTAAATAAAGCACCCTGTAGATATTCGTCACACTTTAGCGATCAACTTGTAGGTCCAAAATATATATATTTTTTGTGAACAAGAATCAGACTGAGCGCTTGTTTTGCATTTAGCTCGTTCTACATTAACATTGTAAAGCCAAATCTTTGAAAACAATTAACAGAGAGGCTGTCCTTATTTGGCTTTGTAGCTTTTTCTATAATTTTAGATTATAGGACAACTAAGATCTGAAATATTACATTTTATTAAACAAGTAAAGCGTGAACAAACTTTTGTCATTTGTTATCAATTTGTTATCGATGTGTTAAGAATAAAACTGTTTTGGATTAACTTAACTTGCACATAAGTGCAACATGTAAACATACACTTAGTTTCCATAGATTAGCCATTTTTTTTAAAAGTCTCCATTCAGCTACAGTTCAGTTAACTTCTGTCTTGGTTGAGGTCACACTATGACTTAAATTTCTTACCGTGCCTGTCTGGATCCTCCTTCATAACTTGGCTCAGTCCATATTGAAAAGTTGCACACAGCACATGACTGCAAGAGAAAATTTAGAAGTCACAGAAATATCTCTAAATCCACAATATACACATTTACAGCTTTCACTTCCCAAAACACTACAGGCCAAATGTTCTATATAATTTCTGCACAATGTGCAAACAAATAAAAAGGAAAGTTGAAATAGAGGAAAGATCAGAGATCATTTAAGACAGAAAGGGGAATAATAAAGACCCACTGGAAGGATTCATAATAACTCCAGATGAGCATTCTTACATCCAGGTAGGAATGTATTCATTCTTACGTGTGTACAATATAGTAAAAACTCTCATTGTTAAAGAGAAGCGCAGAAGGACACTTCTCTAAATAATCTCTAAGAATTATCATATCCCACCTGGATCTCTTTGGCCATTTTGGGGGGAAATGATCTGTGGACTGAAAAGACTTTTTTTGTTATCGTTGTTTGTTAAAACACAGATTCCAAAGGGTGTAAGAAATTGCATAATTTCTTACATGTGTGTTCAGGACGTATTGTGCAAAAATAAAAGTTTGATGTTAAGAGTTTCCAACGAGAAAAGATCCATGCAATGAAACTACTCTGAGCTTGAAGTAGCACAATAAAACCCTTGAATATGTTTAAAATGGAAATAAGGATTCATCCTATGACCTGTTTTGGCTCCTCCTCTTAAATCAGCGGCAAATAAAACAGTTAAGCTCAATATGGAGCCGTTTGGCTGACAAGCGGTCACGTGATCTCAGCCGAAGCAGTCGGCACTCTTAAACGTGCACAAAAGTTTCCCCCTTAGTGGACCAAAGGAACACACACAGGGGAACACATGAGACTCCCATCATCCAGCTCCAAACTTCAAACTTCTCCGATCCGTCTGGAGGCGCTCCACGAACGGACCTTGATGCGCATTTTTCTTTGACCGATGTCAGTAGTGCTTTTCCTTCCTTACTTTTTCTTTTAGAAGAGAGATTAGCATATATATTTGACTATGGGGTCTCCCTCAGCTCCAGAGGAGAGAAAGATTTCTGTGTGGGTCTGCCGAGAGGAGAAGCTGGTCCTCGGCTTGTCAAAGCGCAACACCTGCGCTGATGTCGTGAAAGTGCTCCTGGAGGAGCAGTGCGCGCAAACCGGCCTTTCCACGGCGGACTCCTACTGCATCGTGGAGAAATGGAGGGGCTTCGAGAGAATTTTACCGAACAAGACCAAACTTTTAAAGCTGTGGCTCGCGTGGGGAGACGAGCGGAAAAACGTCAAGTTTCTGCTGGTGAAAACAGACGCCTCTTTGGAGAACCGCAGGGCCCGGAGCGCAGAGGCGCGTGTGGTGCCGAGCAAGCAGAGCCCCTGCATCACCAAAGGGTCTCCGAGGTCCAACATGGCCTGCATCTCGCCGGAGAAACAGCGTCGGATTGTGAGGAAAGCTTTCAGAAAGCTGGAGAAGATCAACAGGAAGAGGACGCGCGCGGCGCACAGAGACGCATCCAGTGCAGAGAAGATGGAGACTTTGGTTCATCTTGTTGTGTCTCAGGACCACACAATCCGACAGCAGGTTCAGAGGATCACAGAACTGGACTCAGAGATCGAAAGGTGTGAGGCAAAGGTGCATCTGGACAGAATTAAAAGACACGGGGTCAATTACGTGCAGAACACGTATCTGGGCGCAGTTTACGTCCCAGCGCAGGAAGGAAAGGGACTTTACTCACAAGAGACGTTTGCCAAACTTGAAGAGTATGCTCGGCAGTGCGAGGAGGTGCTGAAGCTACAAGAGGACCTTTCTGAACAGGAGGCCCTGATGGATACGATCACAACTCGCATTCAGGAGGAGCTGAACCTCCGCTGGATGCAGCGCAGGAAGGAGGATTTGCGCATCAAACGGTCCTCATCTCTCTCCTCCTCCCAGGAAGACTCAGCGTCGCAAAGCGCGCAATTTATGGAGGAAGAGAGGATCAAAACGCAGCTAGATGCGAGCTTATACATCGGCCTGCGACTCAACGCGGATTTAGAGGTTATTAGGGGCGATTTAGAGCTGTCCCAGCAGATTGGCGCTGCCAGGGAGAAGGAAATGAGGGATTTGCTGGACAAAGTGAACAGTATAGACATGGAGAAGGAGGACGCCGATGAAAAGACGCGCCACGGGACGGATGACAAGGAGACCATGACTGACACTTTGGAAGGGGAAAGCGAGTGGGTGGAGCAAGCGAGAGGTCTGTCTAAAACAGAAAATGTGAACGACGACGACTCAGACACAGGCTTAAGTTCTCTGCACAGTCAGGACTCAGACGGCCTCCCAGTGTGGGAATCACTGGTTTGAGATTTTACAAGAAAAGTGGCTCATATAGAGGCATTGTGTTCACAGTCTCAGGTAAAAACATCACTGAAGTCTATTTTTATATAATTGAGATATGGAGTATATGTGAATTCACAACGGTTATCATAGATCCACTCCATTATTAAACTGGCTTGTTCAGATTTAGTTGTGGTTAGAACTGAAAAAGAAATTGTTTTGATAATAAAAACTGTTTTAAAGCTCGAAAATATTGGAGTTTATTTCCTTTTCAACATGAGTTAGTTTGGGTGAAGGCATTTCATTAAATATGACACAGTGAATGTGCAGCTAAAGCATATTTTCAAAAGGTCTGCCAGGATACACAATCCTGGCAGGCCATAGCATAGAATGTTAATCCTGAAGCCATAACATCATCTAAAGTCAAAACAGAACTGCAGAGATTTAGCAGAAGGTCAGTTCCACATCCGGACAGATGACAATGAAGCAGACATTTAACTTTCAGATGTCCTGCAACTTCTGAACTTAAAGCTCCATCAAAGCCGAACACATCCAACTAAACTATTGGTACAGGAACAGAAAAACGTCACATTTTACCCATTGACATTCAAAGAAGCTAAGGCTTTTTGCTTTGTTTTAGAAATCAAAATAAAGACATCACCTGTTCAAAAAGAGACCATCTGCACTTTCAGTTAAAGATCATTGCTTCAAGAGGGAAACAGTAGTAATTCAATAAGTTTTGTTTGCTCCCTGTGGGACATAGAAGGGTATCGATCATCTGAGGATGATGGTGTCTTTATGGGGACTTAAAACTGCAATTTCTTCATTAGCATGAAGACTAATGTGTGAATTTAAAGTAAAGACGGTGATGACATTGTTAGGGTTACAATTTGGAGCTGTCCAATAATTTGAGAAGCTCCAAATTATTGGAGCGATCCTCCAATATTTGGAGGAAAGATTATGAATGTACATATAATGTGTCTAAATAAGGAGATTTTTCTTTTTCAAACAGTTTTGGTGACAATGGGGGTTTTTTTTTTTTTTTTTGACAGCTGTCATAACAAATAAAGCAACAAGAATCAAAGTTTCTCAGCTGTTTATTTGCATTTTTAAATTATAATGTCAAATGATCAAATAAAAATGACTGAAGACAGACCACTGCTTCTGTCTTCAGTCGTAGGCAGAACTGAGGACTGAGACACTGAAGTTAAAGCAGGCTGTTGGAATGTAATAAAAACATACATTCTGCGTGTTTTGTAATTCACTTTGACTCATGGATACTTTTTGCTCGCTGGTTATCAAAGTGGAGTGTTTTCATGTGCCTTGTGAAGTTCAGCTGAATTATAATGGTTGTAATTTTAATTAAAATGACAGAAAATGCATAGAATTGCTTTTTTAAAATGTTCTGGGTCTGATGTGTTGGAAGAGAAGACGGTAAGAGCAACAAACCAGCAAAAGTCCACCCATCTCACTTCGCTATGAAATGCTGTTAGTGTGTGGAAAATGGGTGAGATATGGTCATTTCATCCTCTTATGTATAAGGAAATCACTAATTCAACCTTCAAATGTTTATTTTTTTAATTAATATGCTAAATAAAAAAGAAATCAGTACCACACTACTCATATTTGTTAATGAATCTCATGACAAACCGTTTGAGGATATTTCACCAAGATCAAATTCCCCCTGCCAAGTATAAATATCCATATAAATATCCTCATATGTTCAGAGAATAAAGAGCAAGAGACATGTATTAAGTTTCTGCTCTTGATGAACCCACCCATGTGCCTCTTTTGTGACCGAATACACAATGAGACAAAAAAACACCAAAGTACACAATACTTCCTCCGTCCCTGGAGTTGTATACTTATGGTAGTTAATAGGCGTATTGAAACACACTGAGCCGCAGGGGGAATAGAAGATGATCACAGTGTTTTCTCAGCAGATACAGTGACTGATTCACAGAGGAAAAACAAATGAAGAAGCTGTTAAATTTAGAACTAGTGGAACAAAATATGGCATGAAAAGATCCGTTCCAGTGATGTTTATTTGATATTTTGATTAGGGCAACAAGAAGTCAACAGTTATATAACAAGGTGATTTCTTAAAGAAAACCAGGCAACATGTATTGAGATTTTCACTGGTTAAGTGTGTAAAATGAAAGTGAGCTGAGTGAGTACATGTCACGAAAGGCAATAATGGGAGTCGGTCAGTTACCTTTATTTGGAAGATTTTTATTTTTTATTTTTTTTTTTATGAGAATTGATGAAGCATGTCATTCATATCGCCATTAGCCTTAGAACGTTTTGGTGGTGTTTTGTAACATCTGGAACAGGAAGTCTCTTTGGTGATGTTTTAAAAGCTTGGCACATCCAGCCACTGAGATTTCTGTTCAGTCCTTAAGATAGAACATCTCCTTCAGGATGGACGGCTTTGGGTTGTTTACTGAAATCTCTAAGTCTTAACAAAGATTAACAATCAGAGCGAGGACTTACAGAGAGCAGTTTTTGCACAGCTTTTTTATGGCGTTATCCACCATTCCTTTAATTTAATCAAGAAAAACACTCTTTTTTTTTCTTTTGATATTTAGAAATTTAAACAAAGTCAGAACCCCATCTGCTCTTATTGACATGATTCCAGAGCCTCCCAGATGCTTGTTTTAAATGCCGAGGCAGGAGTTTGTTCTTCATCATCTGATTGAAACATCTTTCTGAAATGATTATATAAACAGACTATCCTTTCTCTGCAATGAAGCTTAGTACGTCCAAACATTTTTAGAGATCATCCATCGTAATCTGTACATTTTCAGTAGTCTACCCTTTATCATGATTGTACCAAATCAGCTTCAAGTTTTAGTCTTGAACACATCGCATGTTAACAACCATAACTGAGAGCAAACTTAGTTTTCATTCTTCAATAATGTTTTATCTAAAACTATCTATTGTTAGGTTGGGTTATGCAGCAGCAGGACATATTGTTGTCCTGCTGCAACAATAGGCAGGACATTGCCTTTTGCTATGTCTTTATTAAGACATAGCAAAAGGCAATGTCTTAATAAAGTCACAGCAAATATGTGTGGCTGTGATATTGTCTTTAAAATAGGTACGGTCATTCATCAGGTCGTATCATCCTGGAGTTTGCAGTGACTGGAGAAAATAAACAATTACTTATTACTTTTGCTTATAGATTTAATCATATTCAAGAGGTCACAGAAATATTCTGCTTCCAGAAATGAAAGAGAAACAAAACCCTGATTTTCCAACATTTTAGTGCAATTTAAAACCCTCACAATAGAGATATAAAGTTGGACAAACTTGCACTTACAGTACATTCACACAGCTTGTCTTAAGAGTCTTTGTTCTTCGAATTTAGGGCAACATCAGTGCCAAAAAGGGGCCGGTGCCATATTACATGTAATGGGAGGGACAGATTTCTTGTCGCTTGACAAACAGACGTCTCCTCTGTGCTCAACTCTCTTTTCACTTCCCACCGTGTTGCACTGAGGGACTTAAATTGATCTGACCTGATAGAAGAAACCTGTTATCTCACAAGCAGGGATGTGACAGTGCATGCCGTGTCCTGAGAGAAAACAATTGCATATCACTTGCCTTTTTTTCAGGGGCCAAATCCATGGGGAAATTTTTAATAATGTGGAGTTTCCCTAAAGGTCTGAAGTTGAAATAGAAAAAAACAACAGGGATCTGAAATATTATTTCTTAAACCAGCCAGGCACAATAGACAAAAAACTGGGAGGACATATTTAGTTGTTTCTAAATAGTGATATATATATATATATATATATATATATATATATATATATATATATATATATATATATATATATATATATATATATATATATATATATATATATATATA